CTTAAAGTGGCAGCTTAGCAGAAAAAAATCCCCTAAGGACCTATAGAAGTATTGCAGTAACTTTGCTACTGACTTTTACCAACAGGCTTTGGCATCTAATAGTTTGCTGTATGCAGCCATGGCTACAGAAATATACAAAATCAGAGGCTGAAAGCATGAAAAAAACTGCTGAGCGCTTCTGAAGTGGTTGGACAGCTATTAATATACCACATAGGACATGACAAATGAGTGTTTGTGTAAATCAATAAACCTTTCTGTAAATGCACTAATGGCTAAGTATGAATAACAAAGAACTGCACGTGGTAACCGCTGTTGTAACGTTCTGTCAGAGATTTTAAAGTTCACTGTCATAACTTATTTCCTCTTGACCTTTATTGATGGTACCTTCAAAGGACGTTGAGCTGCTAACTTGACACACAACCTTTAGACCTTCATCTCCTTTTCCCTCGTGCAAAGTAAATGCTTACTCTCCTTTCCTTTCTTCTCTCTTCCTTCCCCCATCCTTTCATGTTGTCTCAATGGTTGAATGAGGAAATCTGGTTTTGTGTGCTTCTTTTATTTGTGTCTTCTGGTAGAAAATGAAGTGGCGTAATTCATTTCATTGTGGTTACAAAAGTGCAAAGGACTGCTTCTTGAAGACTCCCTAACAGGTACATGAAATAATTCATCACTTAAAGACCCCAATATACCCATCGGGTCCTAATTCATAGCGCATTGGAACAGGTTAGACAACAAAATGTTGTTACTGTTCTCCTAGCTTAATAAATCAAGGGACATAAAGGTTAAGGCTAAGCTTTTTGAAAAACACTGTAGAGGAGCAAATCCAAATCTCATTTTCAAACATGTTGTAAGTATTTCAGTCCTTTTGAGAAGTGCACAGGAGCGGCTTTTACAGGATGTTAAGTGAAAGCTGTCCTCTCAAGTGCCACTTGTAGCTGCAAGGCTAGGGGAGATCTGCTGTCTCGTGGCATTCTCAGACATGACAGTGTGTCTGCCACTTCTTGTAAACACCACTAAGTGTTGAACAAATTATAGTTAGTAGGCAAAACCTGCTTTACGCCTCTAAACTAGTTAAAAGGGAAGAGGACAGAATGTAAGTAATCATCTCTAAATGTCTGTATTGATATGAGCATATTTGTTATAAGCATGTTGATTTTCAGCTATTTATAGTCTAGCATTATTTAGCTGAAAGGCAGTGCCACACCATTGGTGTGAGTGAGGATATCTTGTGCTTTGAACGTATAAATTCAGAAAAAAACTGTGAGCTAGAAGGCAGCAAGGCATTTTTCAGCTCGGAGCCTACTGCTGATGAAGGCCTTTGGGGAGGCAGCAATTCCTGTTGTTTTGGGGGCTGTTAGCAGAGGGATTTGGTTTTTTTTTCCTGTCAGGCAGAAAGCTGTAGTGTGTTCTGTTATTCATTATATCTGTTATTCGTTCAGGATATGTTGAAGATTGTATTTGAGACTTCAAGTGAAAATGCTTTCAATAAGAGTTTGATGTTTATGTAATTGTACTGCTTGAATTTATGTTCCTTGTGTGTTGTGGTTAAGGTGACCTAGAGCTAATTATCATCACCATTTTACTCTTTTAAAATTTTAATTGGCCTGCCCTTACTAATCCAGTATAGTAGCACCTTCTCAGAAACATGACAAAGGCTAAGGCTGCCTTCTGTCTCCTCGTATCTTCTATAGCATCTAGAGCAACAGATCACTGTGAACCAAGGAGCTTCTTTCTGCCCCAAAGAAAAAATAGTTGATTTTAAGGAAATATTGTGTCATGTGAAAAGAAATACAGTTTTTCTTTGCATCTGATATGTGTCTGCATTCATGGAAAATAAACAGCAGATTAATATCGACTTCAGCAGGAGTGCACCTCAGTGTATCAAGTGTACTGTCTGCCTGTTAGTCGTCTCAGATAAAATAGGAAATAAGTAGGAGTACAGTTGCAAATACAGGTGCAAACAGATGGAAATACAGTTTCCTCAGCATTTGTGAAGGAAAGAGAAGTCTTTGCTGACCCACATCTTCATCTATGGGGCTTTTTTCCCTCCTGAGGAAAGGATTAAAATCAGAGTTGACAAAGTCTCTTGTAAGAAAAGGCAACTTCTGTTTTATACAAAGCAATCTGAAGTTCTTACTGTCAAACTGATTTTCCATGAATTCACTCTCACTACTCAGAAGGCAGTTGTCTCTAATTAAGGCAGTTGAAAGCTGTCTGGCATCACGCAAATCTTGACTGAAATCTTTAAATTTCCAATGTTTGGAGACACTTTGAGGAGGAATTTTTTTTTTCAAATTGGAACTAGGAAGCACCTCGCTTTCGACATTTGTAGGAGCCTTATGCCTGTAATGATCCAAAAGCCCCCTGCAGTGTTTCATGTACTGGTAACTTATGCCACAGGTATTTTTGGCTGAAAGGATCATAACCCCAGGAAAACACATTGCTAGGAGATGAACGCTGTGCTCCTAAAGCAGTTTGCTAGTCTGCGTCTCAAGTAGTATTTGTGAGGCTGAAGGAGAGAGGCATTTTATTTCCACATTTTATTTCCACGTGTAACACAAAATGTACGTAAATTCCTAGTTGGTCGCTTTGCCTACAGCTAGAAATCACCGTGGAATTCAGGTGGTATCTAAGAGGGTGCCTTCCTCAGTAATCCAGTTTTTTGCCGTTGTTGTTGGGTTATGGGTGGGAGAAGGGATTGCACAGGAGTCAGTACTTCCCTACCACTGCCTCTGGGTGCAGCAGCTTTCATGCTGTGAGAAGTGTGAGCTTCTGATTGTGGCTTAGCTTAGAAAAAGAGTGGCCAGAAAATGAAAATAAAATGGGATAGGGATTTTCTCCAAGGAGACCTGCTTTGCCTGTCTGGCAGAGGATGCCAGAATGTGCAGTAGTGGAGGGCAGATCCCTCTGAGTGAGAACAAATAGGCTTACAATAACAAAACCCAGTGGTTTCTGTTAAATAAATGAAGATCTGGTTGAGGAGGCAGGAGTTTGAGACCACAAGTGCTATTAAACATTTTCTAAATGAATACTTCTGGGGGAATGTGGATTATTATCAAGTATTCAGTTGCAGTACAGAGTGATTTTGTGTATCAAGCCTTGGCTTTCTCTGATGCAGAGTCTTAAATAAAATTGATCAAGTGTTCCCTCCTAGTCCAGTCCTCATTACAAAAATGCCAAATAAGTGGGCATGATTTGCTCAGCAATCAAGAAGCACTGAAGTTGAGCTAACACTGACTGCGTTAGATCCTTTCCCTACACTTTCAAAGCCACTGTTGTGAAAAGGGTTTTATTATACAGATGTTGCCACTATGGCTTGATAAGAGAAGAAACATACTGTTTATTTATAATGCTGTCAAGTTCAGGTTTCCTAATTTCCTTCGCAGTTAGGCTACCAAATAGCTCATTGAAATCAGAGATTCAGCTAACAATCCAAGCTGGATTAGCTTCCATTTTGAAACCTCACAGCATTCAAAGATTAAAAAAAAGGAGTAAGAGAAATAATTTCTCTGGGTATTTTGTATAGTGCCAGTGTATGTAGTAGTTCCTTCCGACATCTCTGTATGGAAGCAATCTGCCCCAACTATTTTCTGACTGTTCACGCAGTATATTTTTATGTTAGTGAAAATGAAAATTCAAATAATTAAACCCTTAGGTACACCATGAATAAGTGAAAGTGCCGTGCAGACTAATCCTTTAATGGTTTCTTCAGAACAATAGGAAGTATTTATCTTGTATGACATTTTAAGGTGATAGTCATAGAGAAAACATCTGAAGATCTTTAAGTCACAGAAATAGATTTTTATGTAGCAATCATCTCTTTATTTTTATCAATCAATCTGCTGGAATGCATCTGTAAAAGCGAACTGATAACTGTATATGATGATGTCTTCAGTAGGGAGGACTGTTTACTCTCCAGCTTCTGATTTCTTACTGCTGCTTTTGCAGCTCTGCTTCTACTTTGCTATTTAATTCTGCATCTGTATTTTTTGCTCCATCATCTCACAGTGCTCCCTGCAGGATCACCCACAGATTTTTTATAGCCATGTGCTGAATCCATTGAGAGGAAGCATTGGGAAAATAACGGTGCCAGGTGTTTTACCACCTTTGTTAGCTTTGGCTGTAACTACAAGATAAAGCACTAATTCCACACGATTGTTTATTTGCACATGTAAATAAACTCTATGCCCTTCTTTCTTACCTCCCTCTTATTCCTTACTCTCTCTCAATGTATTAAAAGATTGCGTACATTTACTCTTCCTTCCTAATCTTATTTTTATAATTTGTCTGCTTTTAGAATTCTTGTTAGTAACTCAATTTAGTGGACTTTGGGGTTTTTATTTTGCTGAATCATTGACCTTTCTTAAAGCGATAGAAGCGATAACTGCGCATCTTTCCATACAGTGAATGACATTAAATTTTCCTCTCAAATTATAAATATTAACTAGAGTTATGGCTGTTGTATTGTATAACCACAGTTCTTTTGAAACAGCATTTGTTAAGCTTTTGTAGACTGACAGAACATTTAAAATGAAACAAGTAGTGTAAATGGTATAATAGTTGTAATTATCTGAATGCAGTGACTGTGGTGTTATGGTTACATGTCATGAAGTTATGCTTGGGAGACAAAGAGCTTTCTTGAGCCTTGTTTTAGCTTCTCGATCTTTAAAAGAAAATTAGTTGAAACTCATTCTGATGCAACTGTGTGTAGCTCACTTAAGAGATTTTCCTTTTTCAACACTGATAGTATTCCTAAATTCAAGTTCATAATATATAGAAAAATATGTTGATTTCTCATAATTTATGTACCAGATTCTGCAATTTTTAAGTATGCACACAAAATTACGTGGTGTATTTTTAGTTTATTTTAATCTTTAGATTTATTTGAATCTTGAAGAATTGCACAAAGTAAGCACCCTAAGGTTTTTTAATGAACTGTTATGTTTTCAACATACCTGTTGATTAATCTATAGATTTATTTATTTATTGTTTTGCTGTAGGCAGAGAATTCAGCACTGGCTCTTGAAAATGAAAATCAGAGAGAACAGTATGAAAGATGTCTTGATGAGGTAAGGAATGGTTCATACACTGTACTCCAATGAGATGAGTTGAAATTAATTTCTCCCTCTCTTTCAAGGTTGTCATTATTTTGCAGTTTTCTAGTATTACCTCATTCTAAATGTTTCCAAGAACTTGTTTTTGTCACTTAGAAATACTCTTCTCCATGACCTCTGCTGTAAATCTTTTTTTTCTTCACACTTCACCAAAAGATCAGTATCCTGGTGACCAATATATTGAGCTTAGTTGGTATAACAGCTTTGCCAGCAAAGATGTTTCTGTGGAATTAAATTGTCAGATGGAGTCTCTTCTGCAGAGATGATAAGTGATTCTAAGAGAAGAAAATGGTAATTTAGTTTTTGTGTGCTCTTGTTTTTCTGTAGTGTGGAACACAGGTACACAGGTAGTAGTGGCTTCTGCTGTCAGAAATTCCCCAGCCTTCCTCTGTAACAGGAATTCAGTCTCTGCTCCCTGCTGTGGTTACATGCATAGGTTTTTATACTGCTTTTGTTGTAGCCTACCTGTTGTGGCATTTATAGACTTGGCTTAGTGGGCATGATGGCGATGGATTGATAGCTGAACAAGATGATCTTACTGGTCTGTTCCAACCTTAATGATTCTGTGATTCTACTACATGGTCCAGCTTCTGACCAGATCTTCAAGTTACAGCTACATTATAGTACACCCATCATTACTGCCTGAGCACTTAGCCTTCCAGAAATGTCTGGCTCAGGACATACAAGATTTTGGGTAGTATCTCCTATTGCTTACAGCTTTCTCAGTGATGCTTCCTCAGTCTTCTCATTTATCCCGAAACAAGTCTCTTCAGCATGGGTGAGAGCTTAAAACAAGTTCTAGGCTGTTAGCAGTTCAAAGAATTACTGAGCGGGAGTCATTTGCCTGTTCAACAATGGGAATTCATAGTAGTGTAAGTAGCTGGCTAACATGCAAGCAAAACAGAACAAAAAAAACCTACAATGGTTTCTCAGCTCTGCATGATCAATACAGTTGTGGTACAAGAAACTTCCAGTTTAGGTTGACTTTCATCAGTAAATTCACACTTTTACCAATGTTGCATATTTTCATCAGAAGACACTTCCCCACTAGGCTGTGTGCTGTCTGCACTGTGTCTGTCTGACAGCTGCAGAGCATTGGTCTGCCTTGGTCTGTGCCACTCCACTCAGTGCATCATTGGTAATTGGGATGAAATTACCACATACTTTTTTACATTAGTTCAAATTACAGAGCTTAAATTTATCTTGGACAAAGTCTGTATACATAATTCATTTTGTCCATCCGAAAAAACCCACTCCATATGTATTACAAGGACAGATGATATGTATTTAGTCTGCGTTTGCAGTTACATGATTAATTTCTGATCCACAGTTGTATTTTTTATATTCTGTTGCTGTTCAAAGAATGAGTAATTATATCAACTATGCTCTAAATTTTATTTTCAACATTAGGTTGGCTGCTTTCAGTTCTTCCGTATTATCACAGCTGTATCCATCTTCTCGCACCATGCCAACTTTTTCAGCACAGTTCTTCTTGTCACCTGTGGTTTTGTACTTCCGTGCTGTATTATTTTTTATTATTATTTTTGTTCTCTTATCTTCTCTTTCCTTTTTTTTTTTTTTTTTTGGTCTTATCTTTTGAATACAATGTCTTTTCTTGTCCTTTCCCGTTGCTTGATATCACTTTTTCTCCCTCCCCATGAGCACTCGGGTGTTTTGGCAGTGACACTAACCAGTATTGGTGTAGCTGGAACAGGCATGGACCTAATCCTTTCTGAGCACTGAGGTGACTTTGGAAACAAAAGAATATTTAATTATTGTAAATTCTCAGAGCCCCGAGATGGCATCCACCTGAGCACATTCCTTTGGTGGAGCTCCACAGGAAATTTTATTTCATTAAGGTAACAATAAAGAGAATTAGAGAGGAGACATAAAAGTAATTAGTGAATAACCCAGTCAGTAATTGTGAGAAACTTCGCTTCCACCTGGAGTCTTCTGAGCGTGTCGTATGTGAAAAAGTTCTTTCCACACATGGCTTCTTACTGGAGATTTCAAGAAAATAATTTATTTTTGTGCATATTCTCATGAAAAAAGGAGTCCTTTGTCAATTTTAATAAACATTCACTGATTTGAAATTATTTTTTCATTTTTGCAGTGTATATATAAGCAACTTTAAAACAATGTTTGGAGAATGTGTTATTGAAATGTTCCAGTGCTTAATAATTAAGAAAAGAGCTCATTTAATTACAGAAATACCTCACAAATATATCTTTCTGTCTCTGAAAAGTTTAAAACCAGGATTGTTGTCTTGTAGCTTTTGTGTGATGATAATCCTGATTTCTTATCCTAGAATTCAGCTCTCAGTGTATTGGCAAGTGGTAATGCCATGCTTATTCACATTATGGTGCCAGCTGAGATTTCTGTCAAGCTTCACTGTACTTATATGCAGGAAATTGTGCAGCTTATGTTGGGTAATATTTTTGCTGATGTTTTAGGAATTAAATCGTGGCATTATTGAATAGATATCCGTTTAGCTAATAAAAAATACAAAGTCATCTTAAAAATGCATTTTAAAGTTTGAATAAAATATAACACCATTCATTTTAGTATGGTTGAAATGTCTTTATGGGTATGAAAAAATACATTAAAGATAGAAGTGTAAAATCTCGGTACTTATAATAGGTATAACAGATGTTACACTAGAGTCTCATTTCTCTGATTCATTCTTTTATACTTTTTCTATTAAGACCACTTTATAACATGTATATGTAAACATAATTGTGTAAGAAAAAAGTGAATATGGATCTTTCATCTCTTTTATTGCAGTCCACAAAAACAAAAAAATAACCCTCACCTAAAACTCTTGGCTATTAAGTTCAAAGGAAAGGCAGGCTGTGTTGAAGGCAAGCAGTGCCGTGTACTGCATAGCAGCAGCTTAAGGAATCTCTGTACTAGTCCTTGTTCTGCCTTCTCAGCTGCAGGAATCACAGGTCAAGTCATTTTGCAGCCTGTTAGTTACAGGGTTTGAGCCACAGTTCTGTCTCATGTTAGCGAAAATTTCACATATTCTCCATCTGAGACACCAGTCCTTCTGCCTTCTTTGACCTCAATTCCCTCAGTTTTTGGTAGTTGAGACTGTCAGTTCTGTAGCATTGGCTTATGTTGTTCATCTCCACAGTGTCTCTTGATACCTGTAAGTAAAAAGATTGGCAGTTTCTTTCCATCTAAGCACTAACCCTGTTGTACATCTAGCATGGCAGCTGCATTTGAAATGCAAAAGTAATGACTGCTAAATTAATTGTAGTTGCTGCAGAACATTTCAGTGGAGGCTTCCCCCTGCTGCAAACCAATACAAACCTGAAAATACTTGAATAGTAATAGCAACACAGTTTGTCAGGTTGCTAGATACTAGAATGAAATAGCCTACTTTTGTAAAGAAACTGGCTACATATCTTTCTTATTGGGGTCTGTGGGAGCTATGGATCACGGGCAAGTACTTTCATTTAGGTACCTAACTTCATATACTCAAAGTTAGAAAATTTTTCCCCTATGCATTGGCAAGTTCAGTTTTTTCCCGTTTGGAAGATTATGCCATTTACACTCCTCTGCTCAATATATAAAGGCATAGGAGTAATTGTGTAGGCAATTCTGTTGCAAGTGACTTGTACACACTTCAAAGAACCTTCCAGTTCTTCTAGGTACAGTAAATACACGTCAGAAAGTGAAGAAATAATGTATTAGATATGGTTTGTTCAATTTTCAGGTAGAGCAAACATTGAAAGTACATTCCAGAAGGAACACTGTGGGATGTAGATTCTGAAAGCCCATACAGCAAGGGATGTTTTTTTTTCAAAACTGCAACATATTTACTTCTGTTGCTTATTACTGTTCTAATATCAGTCTGTCTTCTGTTAAATCATGTACAGAGCAAATTTATGGGACTGCTGTTCCACAGGCTGCCTTAAGTTAGGGACCAGCTTGGAGAAAAAAACTGACACTAAGCAATTTTGTGAGAGTTTGAATTGAATGTGACTTCTGCTTCTAACAGAATGGAATCATTTCACAGAAGTGAATTAGTTTCAACTCTTACACTACATTAGAAATGTAATGCGCAAGTTAAACATCAACAGAAATCCTATTTTTGCCCTTCTTTCCATTCCGCCTCCTTCAGCCCCTCCATGCCTGCTGGTAAATATAAACTAGAAACGATACATAACATAAATAACTTCCAAAATTCCCTGTTGAATATATAGTTCTGCTAATCAATGGTGTGTAATGTCATTCAAGTCAATTAAATTGTGCAGTGTGAATGCCTTCCAACCACATTTTGATGACAGTAGGTACTTTAATTTTCTGTGGCACTTTATGGTCTCTGCTTGTCATGATAGATATACCATTTTGTCAATATTGAATCAAGAAACAATTAAACTTCATGAAAACATTCGGGACTCCTCAGCTGGTAAAAAGCAGCTCTAGTGAATGCAAGTCAATCTGTGCGGACCTACAACAGCTGTATATAAACCTGGGAAGTTTCAGTCTTCTCCATAGAAGAGATGGCAAAAGTTAAACTAACATTGATAGTGTTGGTTTATAGTGAGTACTAGTACAGAAGTAATCACTTGCATGTAATATATTCTCACTAGTACTATGTGATGAAAATATTAGCAATTAATGAAAGTACTAGAATTGGTGGTGGTTTAGGCAGAAAGTGGAATGTAAAGCCACAGCAGAAGATAATACACATAAACTCGTATGATCATATACTTAAACTATACTATCTGTTTCTTTCAGGTAGCTAATCAGGTTGTTCAGGCTCTACTTACTCAAAAGGTAAGTTGTGTTTGGGTATTTTGCTGTAACATAAAGTTCATTGGTCATTTGAGAGATACATATTTTATATAGGCTATATTTTTTTAAACAATACTCACACGCTTAATTATCAGTCAGTCCCAAATGTAAGGAGTTTTTAATCCAGGTGAATAAAAGTCCATGAAACCACACATTTTCAAGGCTTGATCATGTAGGAGCCATATACAGTTCTTATTGGTTTCCTGTGCTGAGGCAAGAGAGTCAGAAAACTTCCCAGACTGTCACTTTTCCATTCCCTATGGAGTAACATGCTATGACTGTCCCACAGCTCGTTCCTGTGTGACATATAAATACATAACTGTGCAAGTCAGCAGTTGGCACGCTCAGGCACATCCAACAGAAGGAAAGACTTCCTGGTATGAGCCTGTGTGGAGGTTTGGATACTTGACTTGTGGTCTGGGGACCAGCAATAGAGATCATGTATTTTGTTTTTCAATGGGCTAACATTCCATTCTCCTGGATAAGCAAGGGAAATAGAGTCTGGACAAAACCCCTGCAGTGGTGTTGCTAATCTTTAAAAATGAAAAGCATCACTACAGCTTCTGTAAGGTCTATTCCAGATCATGTCTGAGCCTTCCATTCATGCTCCGGATTGTTGAATATGATGTTTGGTAATTTCAGATGTAATGTAGTCCACGGAGTAAAATTAAAAATGATTGTGGCAAAATGAAGATGTGTTCTTGGGGGGAAAAAAAAAATAAAAAATAAAAATAAATAAAAAAAATAAAAAGATGGAATTCAAGAGAGAAAAGCGAGGTAATTACATATAAGCAGAAATAATTGGCTATCCATGGAGAATAGGGATTAACTGGCAGGGCAACAATTCTACAGAAAAAATTGTTTTTTAACTTGAGCACAATTACATGATGTCCTTTTCTTGAGGTGGAAAAAGAAAAAAGAAACAAGGTATGAAGATTTATAATAAGCTATAAAGTCTGCAATATTCATGAAATGATTCTTTGTGCGATCTAGAACACTTGATGAATGCGCAATTATTAAAATGTTTTGGATCATTTAGCTTCAAAAAGACTAGTCTGAAAGGAACATAAATACAGTGTTTTAGTGCAGATAATGCAAGGAACAATATAAACTGTTTTGTCTACATAGAATGACAGGAAAAGAAATAATGTTCTTAAAATGCAGCAAGAAACACCAAGCTAAGATAATGAAAATCTTCTACCACACACCTGAAAATTTTCCAGATGCAAATGTAGCAATGTATTTGGGAAACAACTTTATGACCTTAAATGACCTTGACAAACCTAAGAGATATGCAGAGATGCCTTAAGGGTGAGTGATTCAAGAATCTAGAAGCTGCAGTTACCAGTTAGGACTTCTGGAATCAGAAATCCAGAAGCAAAAGTGTTCCCTAAATCTCTTCACCCAAGAACTGTTGCTCCCACACATTAGGGATGAATGTAACATTGTTGGATGCCATGGCTTTTTGAAGCACAACAAAGCCTTTTGCTGTAGAAGAGGGATATTGCCACGCAGCAATTAGGAGCGTTGTAACTTGAAGGTGGTCTGTGCAATGCACAGCATATGGACAAGTTTGCACTGCTGCTGTCTGTGCTGTATTATTCTGCCTGTGCTTCATATACACATATGCTGTATGGTCTATCATCAGAGGACTGCAGTCAACAGAGCTATTGCTGTAACACCTCTTGGAAACATAACTTCAGCTGTTCAGGCATTTTCTGACATATTAATAGACACAAAAACCTGATCCACAGTTTGTAATATAAAACTATATGCGAGTAATCATTTACCAGGTTAATCTCAGTATATTAGTCTCTAGTTTGGGAGTATCATGGATGTTTTCTGATGGAGGGAAGAGCTTACTAAGTAATTTTTCAAAGGCATCAAACAATTCATACGTTATCAGTAATGAAACTTCCCAAAATCATAGGAACCAAGGAGTTCATAGAACACAATCAGAACAGATTTCAGTACGTTTAATAAAGTGATTTAGTTATTATTGACGGGATTTAACAGCTGCTTACCTATTACTGAGTAATAACAGCTAATTTAATATCCATAGAATGAGGAGAGAAGGTACTCTTCTAAATGCTAATGAATATTAACTGTTACAGTGCTCCTGACACCATTCGTGCAAGTCATTTTATAAGAAAAGACAGGAGCACAATAGCCTACAATAAAATAGAAACCAGGCTGCTTACACCAGTACCAAATAGGTAGGTACTTCAATCCAAATAGTAACCAGTAAACAGATAAATCTGCTGTTGTGCTGCTAAGCAGTAAGACAGAGCCAGTCATGCCACAGTGAGATAACACACCTCTGGGGCATAGAGAGACATGAGGAAAAGCTAAGAGCTTTCAGCAAATGGACAGGAGTGATTCTGCACAGTAACGCACACTGCGGAGGCTTTACTGTGAATTTGAAATTGTCCCTCAAGGACTAATTTTTGTTTAAATTAAGTACATGCTGTAACGTAACAAATAAAGCGCTGCATACTTGCCAGTATGTGGAAGGACTGTGATTCCACCGAGAGATTCTGGTGACACAAATTGAGTGAGCAAAGCTTGAGTGATTTATCAATGTCACTGAAACCTTGAAATGGAATTACGGTCTTAAATGTGCGCTTTTCAAGTTTATCGTTTGTTACAATACATATAGAATTTCTCTAATGCAGGAATCTTTTTTTTACTGAGACTTCATGGAGAAACTGTATTAAATTGAGGTTTGTGCTGAATTAGCCACACAGCAAAGTTTCACAATTCAGTGTACCAAAATTATGTGGATTCTATGACTTACTAATAGAAAATTTTACCTCTGGGAAATTTAAGAAGTGATAAGAAAAAAAAAAAAAACCCAAATTGATGTGATACAAACCTGCATGCTCTGGTATTTATTGGAAGCATCTGTTCTTTCTCCTATATCCTTCTACCTAAAGACTCCTCATATCACATGAAAGATATTGTATTTTTTATTTACATTTTCTTTATTTAAGACCTGAATCAGCAGTTCAGAATTTGACTTACGCCACTTAATGAAATTATCCTGTGATCTGTGTACCTGCTTTTGGTATATTATCTTACTAGAGGTATTGAGGTCAATGAGCATTTATTTTGGGTTCTGTAGGAAATATATTTCTCCTTTTTTATCAATAAAATAAAAAGGCATTGGATGAATTAAAGTATTAAAAAAGAAAAGGTGTATTTGGAGGAAGAGCATTTTGCAGAATGAGCCTGATGCTGGTAAGAATAAGGAGATGCCCAGTTACTGCCACAGTGAGAGCACAGGAACGAGTACCTCAAGTATCTTGGAGACTGCTGTAGTAACAGCTGCTCATTTTGCCCACGGGAGAGGGATGAGAAGTTTTAGACATTTGATAGTTGTATTAATTGGTAATTTTAGAACTTCAGCATTCTAAACTGAGACTTCATTTTACTGGAATACTGCTACTGTAATGTTCTTCCTTTCTGCTCTGTACTATGAGTGGCATTACCACTTTATAGCATCTAGAGGGGTAATCTACTGTCTTATATTTCACATTTTACAGGAAGTCTAAAGCAGGAAACATAAATCTTAAGGATTTAACAGTGTAAAATAAGAAAGCTTTGAGCAAGGGCATTGCTAAGATTTAATTTTTTTCTACATTGTCAGTTTTTGTGAATAATTTTTCCCTCTCAGTGTACTTAGTTGTGTTGAAAAGTTAAGCAATGCTGTAACAGCTAAGGCTTTGTTTTAAATTCTGTGATTATTTGTGAAAAGTAGATAATGATGGGTCTTGTTGCTCCTAGAGATTGCTTTGTGTGAGACCAGAGATAAGAGAGCTCTCACTGACTAAATCAAAGCTTCAGATTTTTACAAAGCATCAAATTCAAAAGGGGGTTACCTTAGAAGGCTATAGCAATTTTACTTGGGCAGCCTGACAGCCACTTAAAACAAATATTAAGCTGAGAAACTATCAAGAGAAAATAACTGCATTCATCTAGTAGTATCATAAAACCTGATGCCCACTACAGGCATAAAAAAGCACTCAGAATTTTCTAAAAGTCTCAAGATGAGCCTATTTGGTTGTGCATTCACCTCTTGTAACCTCAGTGCTGGTTGCAGTGGAGACATGAGCTATCTTAGCCAGGAATTTAGGCTACTTCTGACTACAGTTTCCTCCCCTGTTGTTTTCTCATGAGGTTATTATGTTGATAATGGTATCTACAGGATCCTGTATGAGGATCCAGAGGCCTCTTTCACTGCCTTAATGTGGTGAAGTAAAACCGGTTAGGCAATATCACAGGGCAGCAACTATCCTAAGTATAAAAGCATAAAGGGAAGCATTTTGGAGGTTTAAATAAAACTAGATAATGGCTGCAGCTTATTATTTTTGTACGTGATCTTAATTTGCAGATGATTCTTCCTGATTTATGAAGCTCCCATACCTCAAAGTAGACAGCTGCAGAAATTAGGTGGAAAGGCAATCACAGAATCACAGAATAGCCCAGGATGGAAGGGACCTCAAGGATCATGAATCTCCAACCTCCTGCCACATGCAGGGCCACCAACCTCCCCTTTTAATACTAGACCAGGCTGCCCAGGGCCCCATCCAATCTGGCCTTGAACACCTCCAGGGATGGGGCATCCACAGCCTCTCTGGGCAGCCTGTTCCAGCACCTCACCACTCTCATAGTAAAGAACTTAATATCAGGTTCAGCTTGCTCTCTCCTAAGCCTTCTTTCCAATAAAATCCTTTCTTCCTCACTGCGACCAGAAAAATTAAGTCCTATGTCGCCATTAAAAAGAAGGTAGATAATTTGCTGCATATGGAAGCCATTATTTTTTCTGTGATGAACCTGACATAGCTTTGACTAAAGGATCCGCATCTTTCAGTTTTGGCAGTTATATCTTATGCCTTATGTTGCAAAAGTTTCACACCACCTCGGCTTCTAACGGCCTTTACACATTACCTCTGCTCTAGTGCCCTATCTTAAGGTATTTCGGTGTCCCTTATTAGAAAGGGCAGGCAGGATTGTATTCACGAGTAAGTCTGGTGAGTCAACATCTCACTGTGGCCTACCATCCTACAGTGACTAGTTACATGGAGGGAGATGCAGACCATCTGCAGCATAGCAGCCAGCATTGCTGACTTGGTTATTCCAGAAAAAGCAGATGTGGAATGAGGCTTCAGAAGAGAACCTTGAAGGCATTGTGCCTCTTTCAACTTATTCCTGATGTGTTACAGCTGAAGCTTTTTCCTTAGCTTATGCTTACTACAGCATTCATATCTCAGTTGCTGCATTGTGCTTTAAGTAGGATAAATTATATATATACTATAACAAAGTCCCTTTTTGTACTGACAGAAAACACCGAGAGGATGTATCATGTAACTATTATTTCTCATTACAAGATTTTTTTGATGTTACTGTGATTTATGTTATTGTGATGAAACAACCAGAAAAAAATGAAGCAGCACGTTTTTCTGATTTTTACTATTTTAAAAGCTGTATATGTTACTTATGTATATCAAAGTTGATTTTCCATGCCTGTCTGTGTTCAGGAGGTGTTTGGACAATGTTCTCAGCAATAAGTTTTAATTTTTGGTTAGCCCTGACATCATCAAACAGTTGAATCTTTCTAAGTCCTTTCCAACTGAACTGTTCTAAATTCTTTATTTCTTCTTAGTATCTGACATGACACAGACTTTTTTAAGGAGTTTGTGTTACCTGCTTTCTAATCTTCCTGTTTTCCCTTGTTCTGTAGGATCTGAGGGAGGAATGTATAAAGCTGAAGACAAGAGTTTTTGATTTGGAACAACAGAATCGAACGTTAAGTGTGCTTTTCCAGCAAAGAGTCAAACCAGCTTCTGACCTCCTCCTTCAGGTAGGAAATGTCCTTTGCAGAAGGGAAGCTATGAGTTCTATTTTTGTCCCAATTATAAAATGTTTCTCTTCTTTTTCAGAATATGTCAATAAGTAGAAAATGACAGCTGATAGGTTTAAAATATTAGAAGAATATCAGTAATCTGTAATACGATTGAAACTGAAGGCATGCACCAGTGAGCAATGGTTACATGTTATGTGCAAATGTGGAGAAAGGAGCACACCTGTGGAGTGACTTGTACAGTATTTCTTCAGTATGATAAATGGAATGATATGGGTTCATTATCCCTCTGCAGAGCAGAAACTTAGATTTCCTAACATTCTGCTTGATGGTGAACACTGTAATTTCCTGTGAGAAGACAGCCCATTTATTTAACTTTTGCCATATGAGTTACAAAGACTTAAGTATGTCTCCAAGTTTAGAGAGATTTTTATTTTTTTAACCTTTTATGGGAGGGTATAGCTGAGGAACCGATTGACCCATCTCCCACTCCTTTGCCACTCTGGAATAATAAGAGAGGCTTTAGTATCTCTTTCGATTTGGCGAAGTCCACTATTATGAATTAATCCATCTTTATGACATCCTTTTGCAGAAATGGAATTGCTGTGTATAAGTTCCAACAGATCGGACCATGAGCTAGAACTGTAAACAGTGGCCAAGTGAAGTGTGCAGACTTCTAGCAGTGGGACAAATTCTGGTTTCATTAACATATGCTATTTATTATTAGAGAAAAATTCATGAATTTGAGGTGAAAAACTTGGATAATGTCAGCACACATTAATTCTCTGATGCTATGCATGTATATATCAAAGTAAAATTTAGCCCTTGCACTGTTGCTTGACAGCTAACATCTGTCAACTCTCATCACTTTGGGTTCTTTATTGAAAAAACATTCATCAGCTCACCAACTAGTGCGTAAAAGCAAGGAAGCCCCACAGTGAGATCAAATAGTTGTACTTAGTATGAAACTCAAAAACATAGGTAGAGTGACCTAGAGAGCTGGGTCGCCATTGTAGGGATCTGGGTTCTTGCATTATCTGTGGATTCTTGATTTTGTGTTGATTTGGGTATTGCTAGATCAGGACCTTCGTTCTTTTGTTTTCTTCTTTCCTGACCCCTGGTTTCTTTCTTGTTTGTTCGTCCTTGAGAGGCTCCTGATTGTTATGTAGAACTGATATCTCTTGATTCAGGATACATCCACCACAACGTGGAACTTTAATGCTCTCTTTTTCTAGTTTTAACAGTCCCATCATTTGCCTCTTCCTTCTGTTTTCTTTTTTTGTTTCTGCAGTGTCTACCTCTAGTAGCCTATGCTAGTATTGGATTAAACTGCACGGAAGTTTCATGTTGTGCATTCCTTGTTACAAATTTGTGGCAACAGTAAGCCAGGGTTTTGGGGAGTGGGAGTGTTAAGCAGTGTTAGATGCTATCTGAAAAGCAAGTGGTTTGACTTCAGTTCCTTGAATCTGGATTGTGTCACTGCTGTAACAGAAGTTGAAAGGGATGAACCTGCATCAAATAGGACTAAATGGTATTATGTTTTCAAGAGGAATTCAAACTGTTTTACACCATTGTCCCTGCACCATCCAATAGGCAGATACTTCTAATGCGTATAGATACTCCTCCCCCCACCAAACACACAAACCCTTTTCACTTGCTTTGTATTTATTGGCCAAGGAAGAAAGAGAATTTAGATCATTCTTGAAGTCCAGGTCCCCCAGATGGCAGCAGAATATATTGCTGTGTCCTTACACTTGCTGTAACCCCCCTTGGGGAGAAAGAAAAAGCAGGAAACAAGTTGCAGTGTACATGAGAAAATGAAGAACTTCTGCTAAAAACGTCATATGTTGCTCTTACAGAAAAAGAATACAGTCTGTTAGTGAGTTTCCAGAAATCTATTTGTCCTCTAATTTTACTTCAGGATTGAATAAGTGGTATGTCATCTGTGATCTTGTAGTCTTAAATGTAAAATCTGAGGAGAAATTTTTCCTTAGGACTGAAATTAAGCAAATGTGCCTGAGAAAAAGAGATCAGTTTAGATTATATCATCCTGAAAAAGCAGAAACCCTGACTTTAGAGCAGGTGCTAAATATTTCTTTAAAGCCCGCCACAGCAGAGTACTAAATATGTTGCTAAGGATATTCCTGTTAATTCATGGACTTCACCAAAGTGAATGGACACGTGCTTTTGGTGGTGTTGGGGACAGTGAACACAGTGTTACTTTTACATTTCCTGTACTGTCTGATATAGTGAAGTTTAATTTTATTTGCATGCTGCTCTCATCCTAGGAGTACTCACACTGAGTGCAGTTAAAATTTTTGACCTTCAGAACAGAGTCTAAGCTAAAAATAAATATTTGTTCCTTTTGTCTTCATGACTTCTGTAATTTGGTAGTACGTTGCCATTAAATTATTCTATAGTCGGTATTGGGAAACTCTTGTACTAAAGATTGTGCTTATTTTAAAACCATAAAAATTCTGAGTATCTGAGATTTCAACAGAAATACAGATTTCTTTTTAAAAAAGTATTAAAAATTAAAATAGGTTTCCTCATTACCCTGTGTTTTCTTTTTTATTTGATTTTAGGCAAATAGTGCACAACTTGTATGTCTTAATTTTTTTTTTTTTTCCTTTCAACACACAGTTTGATTTAGGTGCTTTGAACTTGACTGTGGAATAGTGGCATGTATGCAGAGATGATTGCACCATGTTGTTTTCCCTTGTGCTTCTCACACAGTTTAAAAGACAAACTGATTACTACCAAATAAAAAAAATTAAAAAAAAAAAAACAACAAAAAAAAACCCATGTAGTGAAGGTTTTCATGACTGCTTCAGAAATCCTTTACTGTAAAACTAATTATTGAAAGTATTACATTCTCGTGCATTTACAAGAAAAGTACTCATGAAGTTGAAGGGTTGGTAATATTTTAAAAGAAATAGAGGTAGTTCCTTAAGGCATGTGATAAAGTAGATTGCCTAGTAAGTTTTTAGGAGCTAGAAATGTTGGTATGCTTACTGCTTGTAGTGACTGTGATACAGAGGACATCTCACTCCTGTTGTGAAAAGATTATCGAGGCTCCGATGCAAAAATGGAAGGATAGAGGAGTAGGGAGAGATAACTCCACCTTTTTCTTTTTCATCACTTCTTTTGTACCGTAGACGATTTTAAGAGCTATGTAAGATATATATAAGAGCTTGCTATGGCAAGAAAGGTTTGGGAAAGAAAACCAGGAACTTTATTTTGGGGATTTTTTATTTTTATAAAGGATGCATAGAACTATTTAAACTCTTAAATTGCAGGCATTTTCAATGTTTAGCTGTGGCTTCTCACTAAGTTGTTTGACTTTATCAAGTAAGACCGCTCAGTCCTGATACAAAACTTTTCACTCTTTTTTTTATTCTCATTAGGCCCCTTTTCCCAATCATTCCTGAGAATGGAGCATAGCAATTAACATCAAACATTCTTCTAACGCTGCATATTTTTCCTTTACAATAGTGATATTACTTTCCTACAACAGTTACTGAGCAGTAACAGGGGCTGAGATTTGCCTTTTGATAGATGTTGCAGTTGTTTATGTTATATATCTCTGTTTACATGAGAGCAAAATGTTTGTGAGCTGAATTCCTCGGGTGGAATATCTTGTTTTCACTTTTCACCCAGGAGGTTGCTGTCACAGCTGCTTACAGAGCAGACAGGGATCTTTCTGTGAAAGGTGCTAGAAGTGGCAAGTAGCAACATTTATTGAATTGATTTACTTGATTAAGTAGTAAAATTTTCACAGTTGAGAAAGCATAAAATAATATTACTAATGATAGGATTTACCATATTTCTGATCCCGAACTGTATTTTCATCGTCATTTTTGTTTCCATCATAAAAATGATTCTTTACCAATTCCAGAAGGACCCATTTTCTCATTGTGTTTCTCTGGCAAGGTTTGTTTCATTTATTACTCATGGACCATCTGCATTGTTTAATTTCAAGTCTAAAATTTTGTCCACAGTGCTACAGCACAGTCTGCTGAATTCTTTGACTCCAATAATAGCTACTTTGTTGTATCCACCTTGTCATTAGCTCTTGTGATAACAATCTGACAACAATCTCCTGACATTTTTGATAGACTATGATTGTACTTACATGGAAACAGTTGTGCAACTTAGCAGGAAGGGGTAAATTGCACCAACAACATTATTATATATGAGACAGAAGAAGGGCAATTAATTGCCCGACCACCTGACAAAATGAGATGGAATATCTGGCCTCAGAGTCTGACCTGTGGTTCAGACATCGTTAGACACAATGGCTGAGTGCAGGTTAAAAGTGAAGTTGCTGCACTTTGCAGCCATTCAATATACAGATAGTTTTTAGAAAGAAAACATTGAAGAGTTTGAAATTAAAGCAAAAACTTTAATTGAGATTAAAACAGTTAGAAAACAGTCAGCAGTCAAAAGTGTATTTAAGTAACTGGGTCATCATACACTGCACAGCAGCATGATTCCTGTCTGTCAGAAGGCAGTTCCAAGTGCTGCCTTGTTTCTCTAGGCAAGAAGACCTTAGACCAAGGTCACCCAGTTGTGTTTGAAGTTTGAAACTTCTGCAATTGACTGTCTTCTTTCCTTCCTTCATTTCTGCTCCTGAGGTTGTCAGGGCACTCCTATTTGCAAATGTTCTGAAACATTCCAATTCCAGGGCAGACTTGCAAAGAGGCTTTTTTACTCAGTAAATATGAAAACATAAATAAGGTTTAACAGTCTTTGCAGTGGTATTTACTTAGTCACAAATCGAGTCTGGTGGCTTAAAGTAGAAACGAATTTTAGACCCGCTAATTGTTACAGCAGGAGAGAAGTCACGGAAACCTGTTTGCTCAGTAGTTATGAAAATCTCAGTGGCTGTAGGAATAGACAAAATGTTAATCACTTTAATATAAAGTATGTGTGAAATATATTGTTTAAACTAGCACATTAAAATTCATCCAAGAATTATGTGGGCAGTAGAGCATCCA